CGGTCAGGAATCCACAGGACGGTGGTTGTTCACGGCTCCCAGTAAGCTGCATGTGTGTGTTTCAGGGGGCCCTGGCAGTGGAGGTTCGGGCCAGAGATGCAGACATCCTAGAGATGGTGTCCATCCTTCATGACCCCGACACTGTGCTGCGCTGCATAGCTGAAAGAGCCTTCCTCAGACGCCTGGTACACACACACACACTTGTGTTCATTTTGTGTGAGTCTGTGATGATGATCTATCATTTATTTGTGTGTTATTTTTGCAGGAGGGTGGCTGTAGTGTCCCCGTGGCTGTGCACACCCAAGTGAAGGACTCCCAGGTGAGAGTGTTAGTGCCTGTGGCTCAGCGCTGTTAGACATCCTGCTCTTGTTAGCTACAGATGTACACACTTTATCTGCTGTGTCTCAACAAACAGACTATTGGCACCAAGTGACAAACACTCATATTTTATGCTAATGGCCACAAGTATCACAACAGTATCAATAATAAATGGCCTGTATAGCACTTTACTAGTCCCTAAGGACCCCAAAGCTCTTTACACATCCAGTCATTCACACACTGGTGATGAAGCTACATTGTAGCCACACTGACAGAGGTGAGGCTGCCGGACACTGGCGCCACCGGGCCCTCTGACCACCACCAGTAGGCAACGGGTGAAGTGTCTTGCCCAAGGACACAACGACCGAGACTGTCCAAGCCGGGGCTCGAACCGGCAACCTTCCGATTACAAGATGAACTCCCAACTCTTGATCCACGATCGCCCTAATACAGAAGTGATGATACCAAACAGCGTAACCGTGTGCTGTGGCTCCTGCTCAGCTTAACTCATCAAAGAAAACTGTTGTATCTGCTGTGGCTTCAGTGTTTCAGGGTCTGTTGATGCAGTGGCGTGCGTCACAGCTGATGGGCGCTGCGTGCGTCACAGCTGATGGGCGCTGCGTGCGTCACAGCTGATGGGCGCTGCGTGCTGGGCCTCAGCAGGCTTCTGCAACACGACTGAACTATAAATGCAGGGATACGATAACCAGAAGTTTACCTGTGACTGATCAATATCCTTAAATCATTAGCAGTGCATGAGTATGGAGACAAACCAAGTCCTGTTTGATTCTGCGGCCCGCTCTGATCTGATCTTAAAAGCTTGTTGTTTGAACGTGTGAGTAACCCGGAGACATCCTGTGTTTCCAGCTGTACCTGACGGGGGCGGTGTACAGTCTGGATGGCTCAAACAGCCTGAAGGAAACCATGCAGGTCAGCATCGCTGTGGGGAGCCAGGTAAGAGCTGCGTGTTTCTGCCACGTTACCGTCGTTGCACGTAGGAACCTGTTGTCATAGTAACGTGCGTTTCTGCCACAGAGCTCAGAAAAGGTGGACGAGCAGGTCCAGCGAGTGGGAGTCACGGCCAACAAGATCCCAGGTGGCGTCCAGGACGAGGCCGAGAAGCTCGGCGTCGACCTGGCCGACTTACTGCTCAGCAAAGGAGCCAAGGAGATCCTGACGGTGGCCCGGCAACTCAACGACGCCAGATAGGTGTTCCTGGCTGACGGCGGGGCTCCAGAGCGTGCAGGCGGTCGCCACCTGAGCTCCATCTGATGTTGATGTGCTGACTGTTTGCTGCGTGAGGTCAGGACCTGTGCTCAGGGTCATTATTATCCGCTCGCTGAGAGTCCCCGCTGTCTCGGTTCCTGTGTTCTCACGCAGAGAACCTCGTGGAACCTGAGCCACGTTCAGGAAGAAACACACAGTGGCCTTCAGACATTGTTGTCAACACTTAACAGCCTTTAATCATTTGTTCCTAAAGCTCAGACGCTTCATCTGCTGTCGTCGCTCACAGCATCTTCTCATCTCGATGGTGACGAGCGCTGTTCGTTAAGGCGGACTATCTGCAAAATTCATGCTTATGTTCACTCACCCATTTGTTGCCATCACGACAGAAGAGGTGACAGCTGTGGAGCGAGCTCATCAGCAGAGAGCATATTTGATCCACACACGGGGCTTCGGGGAGTCGACCTTTGATGCCTTTAACATTCGCAGTAATGCACATGTGTGGGTTTAATATGACTGCAGCTCTGATTCTTCATGCACTGTTGTCTCTTGTAGTGCTTTGCTGGCACAGGGATGCACTGATATCCATGCTTACTGATGTGTGTCAGAGATTTAAGTTTTCTCACATTAGTCGACGTTCAGCGATGATGCAGAGCTGTAAGTTGAAGGAAGCTTCCTGTACGAGCTCTCAGACCCGTGCCTTCCCTGCTGGAGGCCGATGATGAGGATGAACTGTGAGCTTCGC